GGGCCTTGAGTGGGGCCTGATAGGTCCGATCAGGGTAGTCCCAACCCTTTGTCATAGCGATGGTTTCAGGGATGGGCAGCAGCCCAGGTGTAAGATAGCAACCATCTGACATCCTGTTGGTCACCATGCTGTTTAGGGATTAACTAAGCTGACCTGCTCAGAGGAAATCCAAGACTTTTGTGCAATGAGTGAGTCAAGAGAAGCTCTCTCTTCCTGGGCAGTGTGGTGTAATGAATGCCTGGACCTGGTACAGCCATTTGCCCTTCGGGGAAGAAGGCATCCTAAGTAGGAAATTGACCCAAAGAGAAGGGAAAAACTGAACGAAGTGTAGAAAAATGGAGCCAGAATTGTGATCAAGCCATGCCTGAAGCTCAAGCAACTTCTGAATGTCTTGACTAAAGAAGCCCATATGTTTCCTTTGCTGGTGAAGCCAATTGGGTTGACTTTCCTATTTCTTGAAACCAAAAGCATCCTAGACACAATACCAAATGATCTACTGGGATCCATTTTCCCATTTCTTGGGTAGATATGAGGGGACACAAACAAAATGACCAAAAACTGAAGATATTATACAGCCTTACTGTCCTTCTGGGGTTCTACTCTCAGCTTGGTTTGGGCAGGTGGTCACCTTGTTAGGAATAGGAGATGGGAAAGGTTTGAAAAGTGAGCAAGAAGCCCAAAGAAGGAGTAGAGAACATAAAAACAGGAGAGGCAGAAGGTCAATGGAAACAACAGAGAAGCCTCAGAATTATCTAATTCTCCCACATGATGTGTTAGCCAAGCCCAATGAATTCTGTCATCTGCATATCCCCAAACCCCACGGCCTCCTCTCTATTCTCACAGCAATGCTCGGTTCAGACCTTCATGACCTCTCTCCTTCTCGTGGTCTCTGTCTTTGCTCTCATCCCTTCCAAATTTATTTTCTACACCACGACCAGAGCGATCTTCTCAAAAGAGAGCTCTCAACATTTTCCTACTGAAAAACTTTTGATGCCTCCCTCATGTGGAACGTGGGAAAAGCTGAGCTTTGAAGACAGATCATTTTGAAATCTGTCTCTGCCACTTACCAGCTGTGTGACTTTGGGCAAATTTCTTCATTTCTCTACACATCACCTATCTCAACGATAGGCAGGATTCCTTTGATTACCAGTGACAGAAAATGACCCCATACTCATTAGGTAAAAGGGGAGGAGGAACTCATGAACTCAAGTGATCAGCTGAAGAACAATAGTACAACAGGGTCTCAGGAATAACTGGAAACAGAATTCACAAATACCCTGTCGTGTCTCTGCCTTTTTTGGGGGGGCGGGGTGGTAAGGGAGGATTTATATTCCTATTTTTGCTTGTCTCTGCATTTTAGCTTTATTTTCTTGGATTGGGTATTCTGTGAATGACTGGCACGTGAAACATAAATGGCCAACTTCCAGGCTCACATCTTCGAGTTTAGTTCACAGAACAAGGGAGACTCCTATTTTGAATCCCAAATCCAAGCTTTTGGAGAATGGCTCTGACTGTCCTATGTTGGATCAGGCACCCACCCAGGACTAATCAACCAGGGGCATGGGCAGGATGCGTAAGAAGACGGCAGCGGCTATTTAAACCACGTGATCACAGAGACTAAATCAGAAAGAACATCAGGCAGAAGCAAATGGTGCTGTTCTGGATAGACAACCCAGAAGATACTCTCCACAAATTTTATCTCGTGTGCTCATATAAATGAGCACCAAGTACCCAGACAGTACCTGGGCACAGGACACAGCTCTGCAAATTCTCAACTAAGTTCCCAATTTAATACAAACCAGTTCCCTTGCACCACTAATCCTATTCACCCGAGATGGCTCACCAGTCCCCAAAAGTTGTGTATGGTTTCTCCCTGCCCCGGTGCAGGGCTGTATTTCCCAGCCATTCTCATCTCACTCCTACTAGCCCCTAAAACCCAAGCCAATGGTACCCATCTGTGAATCCTTCCTCAGCACACCCAGAGCCAACAGCCTTCTCTGCACTTCAAGAAGCCTGTTCTTAGCCTCCAGCATAGCACCTGCGGCCTCACATGGTAATTACCTGTTCGCTCATCCGCTAGTTTCCTCCTCTCTCTCCAGAGATTGTGGCTTTCCAGCTCTTCGTCCCGCATCCAGGAATAAAGGCTGGCATCTAGCAGACCTCGGCAAGAGCTTGTTAAATGAAACACAGGATGAATCAATGAAGAGGAGGAAGCAGAGGGAAAAGAGGAGAAGGCTAAGTAGAGATTTCACTGTTCTCACACAAACCTGTGTGTGTTTTGACATTTGGAGTTTCAAAGCGAGAATAGCCAGCAGAGTCTGCGGGATGCTTAGAAACAAAGTTGCTTCCTGTCCCTCCAATCCCTGAAATTTGAAAGCTGTGTTTTTTGTTTTTGTTTTTTTTTTGCTTTGTTTTGACCACTTATATTATCTTCTTTTCTCCTGTAAGCTTTCTGTTGAGATCTATTTGGTCCTGCTGGCTAACCCATCCGTCCGTCCATCTGTCCATCCAGGTGCTGACCTGGGGCATCTGGGTTAGACCCCTACCCTTCCACACACACTGGTGGAATCAGCCCAGAGCTCTATGTATTCCTGGCAGTGAGTTTGGGTTTTTCTATGGGCCAAAGGGATGAGGTCACCATTGCCAGTAAAGTCACCACTGCATGATTCATCTGACACCAGCTCCCTACTTGGGGTCCCAGAGCTTCTCCCAGAGCACCCAGAACCGGGGTTCCCTGCTATTCTTCAAGGTTCTGGAGCTGATCCTCCAGTTTCTTGGATCCTTAGGGAACATCTGCCCCTCTGAGAAGTACTGGAAGAACTGAGAGGCTGGAGTGCTGAATGGGGGAAGCCTCAGAGAAGCCACGATCCTCCAATCCCAGGACAGACCTCGTCATCCCTCATAAAGGCTTCCCCATGTCTCCAGCAACGGCTTCCCCCCTTGTCTCAAAGCTTTTACCGGGGTCTCTAAGGACACATTCTGAAGGGCTCCAGAGTTCTCAAGGGGGAGACCTGATTCCATAGATGAGAAAGCTGAGGCCAGAAGAGAAGTGACATGCTCAAGGTAACACCGCTAACAAGTATCAGGGCTGGGACCAAATGTACTCCCCCTGCTGGAGGTACTCTGGTAGCTTCTTAACCTCTTCTGATAGACTTTCCTTTTAAAACACAAGTCTCTATAAATGCTGCCTGAAGAAATGGTAGGCAAAGGGGACAAGTCCTCCTTTCTTCCCCTCTCACAGGAAGTGGCAGACACTGGCCTTGAACCAAGGCCTGATTTCAGGGCACTGTCCTGCCTTCCTTACCCTGTCATTCAGAACTCAAAGCTAGCTTTCAGATTCACCGCATAATCTAGAGCAGTAGGGCAATGCCAAAACCCACACTTAGACCCAAATGTGGGGGGGGGGGGTTGTCTGGTGAGATTTTCGGTGTGATTCCCCAAGGACCTTCCAATAATCCAGGAAGTCTTTCTGGGACAGTGGAAATCAGATTGGGGGTTTGAGAGTTGAGTCCTGGGAAGTGAGGCATGGGGACATTCTCCAAAGAATGTTCCAGGTCTTTGAATGCTGGAATTAGCTCGAAGCCCTTGGGATAACCACTTTGCCTCTCTAGGTCTGTTTGCTCATCTACAACGTCAGGAGAGCTAAGGAGATGGTCCAGCTTCTCAACATAGCATAGACGGTCCAATGCACAGCTTCTCAACATGGCATTTTCCAACCTTGTGAACCAATGAAAGAAAGCACCTTCTCACATTCAGCAGGGGATGGGAGGCTGTGGGTCCGTGTCACTCTCCCCTGCCCTCTCCCCCACTGCCTAATGGTCAAAGCAGCACTGTAGGTCAGTGAAGAGAACCTGGGCAGATGGTGTTGCCAAGCCTTGCCCAGGGAGGGGTCAGGGGCTGCCCCCTGGATCAGGGGCCGAGTCTTAGAGCAAGGGTATCCTCAGGGATCACAATCCAACACCTTCGAAGGACACTCGGGACTGCAAGGGGACCTCAGAGAATGCTGCCTCCAGAAGACACACGGGTACATTTGCCTCATCCAGAGCCCACAGGGTCTCCCTTTACTGGCTGGCTGGAGGGATGCTTCGGAGGTTCAAGATGCTGTGACTCCCTTAGTCACCAGTGTCGAAATAAATGCTTCAAGCTCGTGCAGTGTTGGTGCTGGCGGTGGGGGGTTGGGGGGGGAACCAAGCAATAAGCCCAGAGTCCCTGCTTTCCAGCTATGGTGGTCCACCACAACCCCTCCTCCACCACCTCGCGCTCCTTAAAAAAAAAATTTTTTTTTAAACCTCTTGGCCTTTCTTCCTTCCCGATTTCTAGTTCTGTTGTGCACTTGGAGGCCGATAGATTGGATCCTGCCTTCCGGGTGGCGTTTAAACATCTATGTATAATTTTGCATGACTATTGCGTCATCGTTGAAGTCGTCGTGGTTCCCCAAGAGGCCTCCCAGGCTTCTTCCAGCACCGGGCCTTTGGACGCTTCCGGGCGCTGCGGGCACTTGCGCGAGGAGCCCTCGGCTCCTCCCGACCGCTTCCCTCTCGGCCTCCTCCCCCAGCCTCACCTTCCCCCCGCCACCGCACACCGCCCCAGCTCCGCGGCTCCTCCCCGTCACCCCCTCCCCAGCCCTCGCGGGGAGTCAAGCTAGGGTGAGCGGGCAGGGCCGAGCGGCGGGCGCGGGCGGGGGCCCGGGCGCGGGGCGCGGAGCCGGCGGGCGGGGGCGCGGGGCGGGCGGCCGGCTCCCGGGGAGGCGCCTGGGCCCGCCCTCCTCCGGGGCGCAGCTGGGAGGGGGCCCGGGCCCGCGCGGGGCGGGGAGAGCCGCCTGGCCCCTCCCCTCCGCCGCCCTCCCCAAAGTTGCCGTCTCCCCCGGGGCCGGCCAGTCTTATGATCCAGCGGATCCTCCTGGGGAGGCCGGGCCGGGGAGAGGGCGCGGGCGCCGAGCGGCGGGGGCAGCGGGCGGGCGCGGCGACCGGGGCCCGGGCGGGGATCCGGGCAGCGACCGAGGCGGCGGCAGCGCCCCGGGCCCGCCGCCCCCTCCCCTCGGGCGGGGGGAGCCGCTGCATGGGGCCGGGGGGGCGGCCCTGCTGCGCGGAGCGGCGGCGGAGGCGGACCCCCCAGGCGGGCTGGGGCTGAGCCCGGGGCCGGGGCGGGGGCTCCGGGGGGACCATGCCCGGAGGCCGGCCGGCCGCAGCATGGCTCACGGGCCCGGCGCGCTGATGCTCAAGTGCGTGGTGGTCGGCGACGGGGCGGTGGGCAAGACGTGCCTACTCATGAGCTATGCCAACGACGCCTTCCCGGAGGAGTACGTGCCCACCGTCTTCGACCACTACGCAGGTAAGCCTCGGAACTGCTGACTAAGGGGCCGCTCCCCGGGCCGGGAACTTTGGAGCAACTTTAGCGGAGCCCCCTCGCCGCCTCCCCCGAGCGCGCTCCCCACCCCTCCCCCGCCTTGCCCTCCGCCGGGCGCCCGGCCCCACCCCCTGACCTACCCTCCCGCCCTGCCAGTCGCGGGCTGGGGAGACCCCTCTCCCTACTCCTCCCCACCCCCCCGGCCCAGTCCCGGCTCACCGCACCTCCCAACCCCCGGACGCACGGGGCCGACCTCCTTGACCTTCCCACGGCCTCCTCCCGATTGCCCCAAACCCCCGGGGGAAATACTTAGGGCACCGGGTGAGAAGTGGCTACGGGACTTGGGAGAAGGGAGTGGGCAGCGGGGATCACATCACACCCCGGCCTCACGCCACTTAACAGTGAGTCGGGCACAAGAGAAAAGGGGTGACATCTCCCAGGGAGCGCCGCATGCTGCCGGCTGGGTTGGGTTAAACGAGGATGGGGAGCGGGATTGCCCCAGACCCTAGATAATTGAGCTTCTCTCCCCGCCCCCACTTCTGCCCTTGCAGTCAGCGTCACCGTAGGGGGCAAGCAGTACCTCCTGGGACTCTATGACACGGCGGGACAGGTGAGTGTCTTGGCCCCTGGCCGACACCCCCTTGCCTTTCCTCAATTCAGGGTGGCTGCAAATGGCCTTTGGAAACTGAGGTGTCTAAGAGGGAGGGTGTGTCTGCGAGGGGCCCCTCTGGATCAAGTCTTTATTTCTTTTCTCAAGTCCGCAAATTAGGAAAAGGAAAAACACACGCACACACAACCCATCAACAAACCTAGCCCAGCCCACCCCATGTGAGCCCCTGTGCTGTGAAAGTTTTTTTGCCTGTGTGTGCTTTCTGTATGGTGCCTGGTGTGTGGGTCCCAACTCCTGTTGCAAAGTGGCAGCGGCCAATCATGAAGCGCCCTTATTTTTAGTTGCAGATGACCAGGTCTCCCCCTCACAGCCTCTGTCTGGTCCCTCATTGGTGAGTGGTCTGCCTGTCCGAGGAACCTGATTGGTGCGAAATGGCATCATCTAATATGATGGGAAGGCATTTGGTCCTGGTTATGTTTATTACAACATCATTGCACTCTGGGACTCGAGTCCCTGCAAACGTAATTTGTGGTGTTACCAGAGGACCACAGGGAAAAAAAAAAAGAAAAGAAACAACAACCATCCAGCCACTCCCTGGGGTAGGGAGGAGGAAGAAGGGTTAGGAGTTCAGTATGAATCTTGGAGGAAGCTTTTTTTTTTTTCCCCCTTCCATTGGAAGGCCAGGTGACTTCGTCTGGGTTTTCTTTGGGAGAGATTATTGTGCAGAAAGAAAATGCACACTCCTCCTTAGCAAATCAGAGGTGGCTCCTGAAGGATTAGTCTCCTCCTCACCTCTGTCCCAGCCGCCCTCTTCCCAGACCCACTTTTGCTGCTGGGATGATTGTGTGTAATGAAGTTTTGCAGAACCCAGCCCTGTGATTAGACATGAAGCCCTGGGCAGAAATTTCCACGTGTCATGCAAACTTGAGTCTTTGCGGCCCTGTGAACAGCTGAGGGGCTTAGAGAGCGCTTTGGGGGATGTCTGATAGTACAGTTTCCTTTTCTAGAAAACGCCTTACAAAAATTCCCTGTTCATTTATATGCCAGATGCCTAGCACTGAGTCAGGCAACACAGGTGCTCGATAAAGGGGAGCTATTCGTTGTAGCTTTTCTAGATTTGGATTTCAGAACTGTGGTGCCAGGTTAGAATCTGGAAAACGTTTACTGAGAGTATCTCAGTGTGGCTTCTGGTTTCCAAACTGTTAAGTTAGAGGAGCATCCAAGGATAGAGAAACTGTTGGCAGTGCAAGGTGCCAGAGGCTGCCCCCTTTCACCAGACCGCCCCGAGTGGGTACAACCAGTTCTTAGCTTTCCAGGGCTCCTTTGGGAGGCCTGCCTTCTTCTATTATAGTTGTTACTTACTCTGTCAGAACATATGGAAGGCAAGAGACAGAACTCTGTCAGTTAAGTAGGACCAACTTTTGAGCCACACAATAGATAAATTACTGGTTGAAAGGGGAGAGGGTTTTAAACGTCGTCTCTAATTTTAACTTCTTTCACTAGCACCTCTTCCCTTTTCTCCTGTAACTTGTCACCATGACCATTTGTTTGACCACGAGCCCTGTTCAACAGGATGTGTATACATCAGACCTCTTCTGTGCACCTTCAGACCCAACTCATATTTAGTGAGTTCCTTCTGCATATCAGGCATGGGGCAGCCACATGCAAATACCTTTTTATTTTCTCCACAAAACAACCCCATGAGATAAGTGATATTCTATCTTTGCAGATGAGGAAAACGGGACTCCAAGAAGCTAGGTAGCTGACCTAAGGTCACACAGCTACTGACAGGCATTGCTGGGATTAGGACACATGTCTGAATTTGCCCCAGTCTGAGGTAGTGATAGCCACAGGAAGCAACAGGAGAGACTGGGTTGATGGGATTCCTTGGTGTGTCTATAGGGGACACGGACCTGGAATCTTGATAGCCATTCTCTGAGTTCGGGTCGTATGCAGCCATTACTGAGGAGGGAACCCAGATCCAAAGAATCATCCGAAGTTGGATCTACTCGTAAAACTGGGGCTTCCCATAAGTCATTATGATTGCTGTTTCCCATGGAGATTGTAAGATACAATACCAAGTGGGATCAAACTGTTAGTAAGGTTCAGGTATTACTGTTTTTACCCCGTGGTGGGACACCTGCTCTATTGGCCAAGATGTGTTTTAGGCCCCCGTGGTGTTTTTCCCCGTGTCTGGAACGTTTCCTTTTAGGTCAAAGTTAACGATAATTCACTTTTCAGCATTTAAGTGTTTATTACTAATAAGCCCTATCTTAGCAATGTAATCATCAACGAGATGAAGTGAGGAGTGCCCACTGGATCACTAACTAGCACTTGTACTAAGCACTGGGGACTACAAAAGAAAAAGTTGAAGGTAGGGCCCTGCCATGGCTGATGATAGGTAGAAGTACCTGAACCAGATATCCGTTCATGTTTGTTACATAGGAAATTCCTGTGTTGTCATAAGATCCCATGCCTCTATGAGGCTTTATCAGGTTACCTTCTTACAATAAAAATAACGATAAGCAAACACACAGACATGTGTACACAAACATACATACACTTTTAAGCCTTACGGACAGCAGAGGAAAGCCCACGGGCTTTAGAACCAAAGACACCTGAGCTCAGGTCTCTACCTTGCTGTAGTGGTCATGGCGATTCCAGCTTTATTTAACCTTTGTGAGTTAGTAAAATATGCGGACCGTTGGAATCCATGCTGCAGTGCTGTAGACTGGCTTAAACTGTTCAGTGGATGTAAAAACAGCTGACACTGTTCTTCCCTAACAGTAGATGGGTATAAATATTATAAGAAATTATTGTACTGCACTCTGGGCAGTTTTGTTAGGGCAACGGGGTCACAGGTGGAAGCGGAGAGTATGTTGTGTTGGGAGTCGGTGATAGAAACTCCACTAGATGCCAGATCCTAGGACCTTTTCACTGGCGGTGTGGAGTCAGCTTTGTACTTCCTGATTCCCACAGTCCCCATGGATGCTGTCCAGTGTTCCCTGCTCTGAATGCCCTGTCATATCAGATGGTTTCCTTTCTTGCTCAGAGCCTGCATCCCTAGTGATGTGAGAGAAACTTAGAAAAACTAAGAGCTCGGGACACGCTTTGAGAAACAAGTCGGGTGTGTAGGTTTCAGTTGATTCTACTTTGGGAGGTAAGAAGCGCTGAGGAGGAAGTGCATGGGACTGGAAAGTGTCGCTTTCTCTCCAAAATGTTCCCCCAGAATGTTCACTCGCTGTATTTGAATAACAGCCGTAGGGCCTCCCTTGGGTTGGAACTTAAAGTCTGTGTGCTTATTCTTGGTCTCCTCTTTGGCCGTAGTCAAGTTCAAAGCCATAGGCAACATTCACCCGGTTTATATATTGGGAACGTAAGAGATGACCATAGCAGATGACCTTTTTCGCCTTCCAGAGGAGGCTGCTTCCCCCTTGCCCTCTACCGCTATTGATAGGGAGTGGGGTAGTGGGGACAGGAATGAGTATGAATGTGAGTGTTTGGGGCAGCTTTGGTCCCTATCGTGGGCTCTGCCTGGGCACCTCCTCAACATCCCCAACACCAAAGGGGAAGCCCCCTCTCTTGGCCACGTACCCGGGTGGCCCAGGAGCAGCCCTGACATTGCGACTGCCCAGCAGTTCGGAGTGGAAGTTGAGGACAATGGTGCCTTCCTCCTCCTGGGGGCCTCGTAGAGGGGTCTGGCTTCCGGCCTGGGCCTCTGCGGAGCTTCTCCTTTCTTGCCCTGCTTTCAGAACTTCAGGGTAGGCTCCTTTGTCCGCTCAGGGAGGGCCTGGAGAGGCAGTATTTTCCCTCTCCTGCCTCTGTACTGCTTGGAGCGCAGGGGAGGTGGGAAGAGCTCTCACTCTCTGTGCAGACGAGCTGGCGGGGAGCTGCCTGGCGAGCTGCGGGCTCCAGGCTGATCTCTTAATCCTTGGCAGGAAGGCAGAACTCGATACCCTAAAGAGGGAAGGACCAGCGCCCAGTTTATCCCAGGTCTCAGAATACCCGCACTCAGGAGGGTGTGTGTTGGGGGTGCTTTGGGGTTCCCTTAAAGTTCCAGATGTAGCCACTGCCTCGGTGAGTGGAAGTCCATCTGTGTGCTTTCGGGTGTGCTGCTGCTACGTCTGTTCACTGCAACACACAGATTCAAGGATGCGTACATGAGAGCTATAAATACCCTTCACTTAGGTGTCCCTGGGGTTGGCTTTTCAGTGCCAAGGGAGATCTGTTTCTTACTTGACAGAGCCCAGCAGCTGTGGCTGACCTCCAAGCCCTCTGGGCAACCAGGGAAGTACTTTCCCTCCAGAAGGGAATATCCAGGGGAGGCAGCGTTGGAATGCCCCTGCCTTCTGTGTGTTTCGAGGGGCAGCACCTAAGGGCCTAATGGAATGGAAAGGGGCCACAGGGGTGGGGGGCGGGGCTGGCCACCTCAGGCTCCCCCTGCCTTCAGGCAGGCACCCTCCCAGTACCTGTGTAGGTACACGCTTGCCAGATGAAGAAGTTGAGAGTGAGTAGGTGAATGCAAAATAGACAGAGATGTAATTAAGACGAGGGTTTTCCTTACTTTGGAGGGGGACTGCGGGGAACCTCGGGAGGGCTCGGAAAACACCCTCAGGCTGCAGGTGTCAGAAGACCCCCACTGTGTCCCTGAGGGGCCCCCTCGGGAGAAGTCACAAGAGTTCCCCCCCAGCACAGCTTCAACAGGTGAGCTGCTGGCACCAAGCATCCTGCTTTCCCTTAGTAACCTACTGTAGATTTGTCGTCTGTGCATTTTTCCCTAACCTTTTTAGAAGCTATTTATATCCCCAGCCTGCACCGTATTACACTGAATGCTGGTTTCCTCCTCTGCGTTGGGAAGGTGGACGGCCTTTGTTGGCTCCAAAGCCTCTGCGGTGACTGAATGCCCTGTGCTCCCCTTCTTGTCGCTCTGATGTGGCTTTGGGATAGGTTAGCTCAGAGCCCAGTCCCACCAGCAGGAGCCTCAGGGTGGGGTGATGGGG